ATACCATGATGTTTTAGAATTGTTTTCTTCTTGCTTTCTTTGCGGCCACGATATTTTGTACTACGATGTTTTCGCCTCACCTTGTTTTCTCCGCGACGTTTTCGCCTGTATGTGACAGAAAAATAGTAATTCTTATTCTTTCCAACTCTGAATTAAAATTTTGTATAGCAGCTGTCATTCCTTTGTTATTTACGCACGAAATTCGGGAGTCATTTTCACCGCACAACGTGTTTACTTATATGTTCATTAATACATCAACAAATAGTTTAGATTTAATAAATTTAACCAACGAAAGCAAATGTTTCTATATGTTTTATTACGCTTCCATGAAAACCACGCTCATTAATACACAAATTATTCATGTTAACAAAATTAAATAAGAAAACCTTTTGTACTTTTATTGTACTTCCATGAAGACCATCTTCAAGATTTTCATTTTTTTTTCCTAAAAATTCCGTAATACATTCCATAACACTTTTGTCTATCAATCAGAGCTCGAACAAATTCCTCTTGAAATAATAAAAATCTTCGTGGACACCAATTGGGTTTATTTATTCATTTCAATCCGACAATGCATACCAGAGCTCTCTGTTTCAGGTAGAAATGATTTTGTGCAGGATTTTCTTTGGGAAACTGACTCGTATCCACATTACACGTGGGAAAAACCAAAATTGCAAAGTCTGTCCTTCTCGACCAAAAGCGATCAACAATCAACAAGTCTCGACCAACAGCAGTCAACAGCCAACAAGTCTTGACCTGCAAGGTCTGTCTTTCTCGACCAAAAGCGATCAACACTCAAGAAGTCTCGACCAACAGCAGTCAACAGCCAACAAGTCTTAACCAACAGCAGTCAACGGCCAACAAATTTTGACCAGCAAGGCAATAGCATAGTGATGCGTGACCACCGGTCGGTGGTCGAAGTCCTGTTCCAAAGCAAAGTGTTGCTCTCTTCTATGAATAAAGAGACATTACTAAGCAGATAGAAATAAATTAAAAATTCCACGATACCTTTTTCAATCCTTCCGCAGAATGTTAGTACCGATCCTATTGGGAATACCTGCATTACGCCATTGAAACAGCACACCTCGGTTGAGAACCGGGAGGAAGAGGGGGTCTGTTAAAAACAAAGAATAATGCACTAACACTTGCCATTATTTTTTCCTTTTTGAATATTATAATTTTTAGACCAATTATAGTAAGATCCATAAAAATTTGCACTTGGTTAAATAAGTATTAAAATTATTCGATAATTTTTAATCAACTTCACATTCTCGAGTGCCGTAAAGGGAAATGCTTGACCTTGAAAGAGCATAAACCTTGTCTGTCTTCTGAGCTCAGAGAAAACCAGAAAGGCGTCCATACAGCCAGCTCGTTCCCCGGAATTGAAACTATTGGTGTTCAAACGGATAACTAAGCCAAAGGATTCACAACCTTTTTCTTGCACTAACCCCTTTTTAATGAACCGTTTTCTTCATCTATACCGATTGGTTTGAACATTTTTACATTTTGTCTATAATACACAGCATGCAACATAGTCATGATATCCTCGGACCGGTTCTTTACCTGTTTTATATCTCAGACTTTCCTCATCCTGGACATGACAACTACTCTCTTCTTGCATGCTACGCCGATGATACGGCGATAGCCGTCAAGTCTATCAACGCTAATCATGCAATTGATAAAATGCAAGATTTTCTATACATTGTAGAGGACTGGTGCACCAAATGAAGAGTTAAAGTTAACGCCAGTAAATCTCAGCTTTTAATCCTTCGCAAAACCAAAAAACGCATTAAGTTTAAGGAACTTTTCTTTTTTCAAGAGCCTGTTCCCTTAGTTACAAAAGCCAAATAAAGTGTCTTATCATATCTCTCACTTGGACCAACCATATTAAGAATGTTAAAATAAAGCAATTGGAATTATGGGCAAATTCTTCCAGTAATTGGAAAATTTTCTAACCTTAGCCTAAGAACCAAGAGACATACTTATACTACTTTGATCCGACCTATTCTTGTTATGCATCTCCAGATTGGAATCGCTCTCCTAATCAATTACATCAACTTCAAATAGTGCAGAATAAATTTCTTCGTATTACCATGATGCTGACTTTCTCATCCGAAATGAACTTCTTCATAGAGATCTTAAGCTTGAAACCATCACAGAATTTATTAAAAGAACAAATGCGAAATTCTTCTCTAAAGCTGTCCAATGCGACTATGTGAACTATTCCCAAGTCCCAAGAAATACTCAATGAAGACCGCAACATAAGACCATTTGCTCCTCACACCTTCATGGGATGAGACTTCTGCTTCTTCTCTTGCTCCTCAATCGGAGGCGGTAATTTCTTTCATTTTATCTGATAAAGACAGTGCTGTACTCTAAGTTGTTTGGATTGCTAGTGTGATGTTGTAATACTCGTTGTGTATTGATTTTCTGTTGTATGGGTTGAAGTTGTGTACTTTTATAGTAGTATTGAACTTCTGTTGTTGTTGTATAGTATTTTGAACCATGTTTTGCATTTGTCGTTTCTCTGAATTGTGAAGGATCCGTTCGGATTTTCTTCATCTTGTCAAGTTCCGTTCCCCTGCTAGATGCCTTTGGCACTTTTCCTTTTGGTACCCCTCTCACTTTTCCTTTCTCCGTTTTCTCATCCGAGATGCTTTCCATTTCCTGAATTCATTATGTCATGTGCCCTTGGGCTTAATTTAAGGTACCGGCAACGTTGCACCTGCAATAGCTCAGTAATATAGAACTGTCTAAGTCTACAGAGGCTGTTCGCAAATTTTTTAGACGATTTTGGTAAGCGGTAATAAAACTCGCTGCTGCAAAAGAAGTAATTGCAATTGACTATGTTTTTAAAGTCAAAAAATATCGTCTGTGGCTTGAAAGTTTTGTTTTTTATTCGAAATGACGAATTTAACAAACGCAGTGGTTCGAAGGCTACATTTACGCTCTTTCCGAAGAGAAATATGCATACTCCGTTATCCAAAAACGATGTAAGAGTCATGGGTTTGTGATATGTAAAGCGTCGATAGGTAATATCATCAACAAGAAAGGAAAAACAAACGTCAAATTGGAGCCTCAAGTGGGACAAAAATTCCAAACAAGTATCCAAGGAAAAAACGGACATCTTCGACTATTGCAAAGGTACGTTGTTTAATGTTAAAAGAAAATCCCCCTAGTCAAAGGACAGTTGCAAAATCATTCAAATGCTCGGTGTCCACTGTAAACAAAATGATAAACGTTGATTTAAATCTTAAGGAAAGCGAAAAAACGCAATGTGCATCGTCTTCTTCCAAAGCATATCGCTCAACGCAGGACATGCTGTAGAATTCTATATGAGAAACACTTATCCAAAGGAAAATCTAAAACAATTGTCACAATAGATGAAGCATGGCTGTATTTAAATGACTGTAACAAAACAAGAGCCATTTATTATCATAAAAGGGGAGAAAAATATTTAAGTACATGGTTCAAAGAATCGAAAGAAAGTTTTTCTAATTGATTCAGGATTGTTGTGGTTTTCTTATAATGGCAAGTTAAAAATAAAGAGAGTGCAAAAAAATGTCAAGATTAACCAAATACTATCAGGAACATATTTTATCGCCAATTTTTCTGAATGAAATACTATCGCTTTACTCACAGGGCCATCAATCTGTGAGACTCCATCAGGACAAAGCTAGCAGTCACACATCAAAATCCACTGTAAATTTCCTGAAAGAAATGGAACAAAAAACTGGTAGCAAGGCCATACCCTTCACTGATATCCCTACTAAATCTTCCGATGTGTCACCTATGAATTTTTGTTCTTTCGGACTTTTAAAAACTGCATTATCCAAACGTTGTCCCAAAACCCTAACAGGACTCTGGAAAGCTGTTCGGGAGAAATGGGATAGAATACCTCTTCTGCCATTTCAAAAGGCATTATTATCCTGGTAATTGCGGTGTCGAAAGATAGTTCAGAATAAGGGATGTCAAGTAGAACATTTAAAACACAAGAATTTTATGTAATTTAGTTTTGTAAACACAATATACATCGTCTAAAAAATGTGTGAACAGCCTCTGTATAATTATGATATAAATTTCACATAAATAACTTAAAGGTAATTAGATTAAGATTATGAACAAATGTTTGGAAAAATGTTTACTAGATTTATGTTTAATTACTTTTTGTATTATTATTATTATTTTTAATTTTACAAATATAAACAACTTTTCAAAAACAAAAACACACATTCTAATAGCACCAAAGTCCGATTTTGATGAATGTAATGACTATTTGGCATAAAACTGCCTAATTTAATTTTCAAAATCCCCTCGTTTAAAAATATTCAATGTGTCTTGTTTTCCAATCTTCGTACTTTTTAAATTGTATTTTCTTGCATTTTATTTTTTTCTATTGCATTTACTGGATAAAAAATTCATTTATTTTTAAAAATATTATTGATTTTTAAAATATATTAAATAATTTTAATGTTTTCCCCCAATATTTATTTTATACGATTTCTTCCTTATGCAGCTTTATATCAGTAAAAATTAAACTATCAATTTTATAAATAATTTTTTTTTTTTGTAATCAACTGGTTCTTGATAACGCCGATCCATTGGCGATGCATATTCGGCTATGGACTCCTTGATCATCAATGACTCCCTTTAATAGTTCATCGACCCGAGGGGTAAAAGGAACAATGTACTAACACTTCACATTATTTTTTTTCCTTTCGAATATTACAATTTTTAGACCAATTACTATATAAGATATATATAAATTTGCGTTTGGGTACATAGGTATTATAATTATTCGAAAATTTTCAGGAGTTCAATCTATTTGAGGTGCATTTTGTCTTGTTTAACTTAAGTGACTTCAAATTCCTATTTGTGACATAATAATTTAAGGTTAGCTAAAACCTATTTCATATACAAAACGTAAATGAACAAATAATTGCAATTTTATTAAAAAAAAAAAAAAGGTTTTAATTTATCAATCTTTAAGTTCTCAATTGCTAAGCCTTTTAGAACGGCTTTGTCATTACATATATCTCAAATTAGCAATATATCACATATTTGAAAATTCTCTGCTTTAGAACAAGGAGAAACTATTTTTTAATGCATCGTTCCTTTTTGATAACTGACAGTCGCAAAACCCAGCAGATGACTTGGGACTGAAGCTGCTGCTTCCCAAGAGATGGCACTAGTTGCAAGGAAATTCACTTTACGAATGGCAATATTCTCCTTTGAATCAAAGCCTCCCAAAATGTACAATCTGTCACCTAAAATAATATTAAAAAAATGCAATTTATCCAGGAATAAATGATAAAAGCAAAATGAAATGTATTCCGTAATTTGTTTATGTTGTTTCTCACATCCGCTCAAAATATGTTTGACGCTAATACCCAAATTTTTGACGCTAATACTCACTAAAATAGGAAATAATTACTGATCGATTATAAATATTAATCTATCATTAACTGATAAGGTTCAGAGATAGCTGAGCACGTATGGTTTGGTTTAGTTAATTATGGCAAAGCAGACTAAGGGGAGGAATGTCTTCGTGGAGAACATTCTAAGGGAAATTGGTTCGTATATACGTTACACAGGGTTATATTATCTTCTATGAACACATGCCATGCAGTTGGGGGGGGATATCGCATAATGCATTCAGCCGACGATTTAGGTCTGTTTCCGAGATTCCTGTTTGCGCGTTTTTAAAAAATCTTCCTGTTTGCGCGAAATCGGGGAGTACATTCCCCCTCCCAAAGTTCCTCAGGGGATGTCAGGATGAGTCATTAAGAAGAGTTGGGCAAATTCTTTGTGAAGTTAGTCATCGTCAAGACTGAAGACGTGTCTTGGTTTAGGCTCCTGTCGAAATCTTTGTTTTTCCACTTTAAAAATTAGTATTAGCTGTTATTTTCGTACCTAAATCATATGGATGTTTAGATTATTGAAACAAAAGGAAAACCTTTAGCCTTACAAGGATAATATTGAATTCGGAATAGAATAAGGAAATGTAGTTATGGATTTGCATAAATGAAAAAACTAAAAGCTGCAAAGCTCAATTAAGCCAAGGAAGAAGTGTTTTTAGAAGAAAAACATTTAGTCAACCTGATACAGCACATTCTTTAGTAAAAAAACAACATTTGTAGCAAAAAATGAAGCGAAGAAAAAATGTTCCTTTCTCAAATTTACAATGAAGTTGGAAACTATACAATCTAGGCTTTGACATATAACCAATTTCCGCAGTTTTCAAGTGTTAAAACAGCTCTATACAAATTTAGGCAATGCCGAAGGTACGATCGAGAAGCTACATGTATGGAGATTTAGAAATTCTAATGAATTATTAGCAAGGGAAGAACTTTAGTTCTTGTGTTCGATGAAAGATAGCCGAATTTTGGTAATTTTCAAGTAAAGAAGGGGAGGAAGCAATGAAATCGGCAAACTTTCTTTTGGATAACTTTTAAAGTTGCTCAAGCCTTTCTCTCAAATTTATACTATCATGTTGATATGGAAGTACCTCTAACGAATTAATGTTGTTCTGTGTTTGTTTTGCTTACTTCCCGATAAGCGAACAGCAGACTTATAAAATATTATTTCGTTTAATTAAAAATCATATTTCTGATTGGGATCCTAAAGAAATTGTGATGGATTTGGAAATTGCAGTTATAATTTCGCTGAAAAATATTTTTTCTTCCTTAAAAATAAGAGGTTGCAATTTCCATTTAAATCAGTGTTTCTGGAGAAAGATTCAAGACTTGGGACTTGTTAACGAATAATGAAGAAATTAGAACGCACCTCAGAATGTGAGCGTCCCTTGCATACATACCCGCAGTATTTGTCGATGATGGTTGGCTGTGTTCACCTTGTAATGCAAGATTAGCGGCATTTTATGATTACTTTGTTGAGCAGTGGCTTGAAAACGACGTCGTAACTATACAGATGTGGAATTGCAATGAAAATTTGCACACGACAAATAATGTTGTTGATGGATGGCATCATAAATTAAATTCTGTTATTAGGAAAATCCATCCTAAAACTCTAGAACTGATAAAATTATGGAGAAACGAAGCTAAAGAAGTGATATTTTTAGATCGTCGTTATGTAAATTAGAAGGGAAAAGAGGAAAACAAGTGGTTGTCAAAAAGAGAAAAGATCCACGTATATGCAGGAATTTTACTCTCACAAAAATATAAGAAAGTGCTATTATCTTTTCTTATCTACAAAATAGATTAAAAAATATGAAAATTTTCTCTAAAAAAACTTAATAATAATTAAAAAAAAAAAAAAAAAAAAAAAAAAGGGGGAAAGGACTAACATCATAAACTTTTAAACACGGCAGTATTTTACTCCCGTCCTAAGCCTGGAAAGTGTGAAGGAAGTTGGATTTTCTCTGTTATTAAATTGATAATTTTTAGTTATAAGGATTTTCGCCTTCTTTCCGCATGCCTTCGGTATTAATTGGAAGCATACTCGGGCGTGTTATTCGAGAGGACCAGGTTTCGAGACTGGGGAGGCACTGCATATTTTTCACGTTGCTGCATTAATTAAACCCAATAACGTCACACTGTAATCAAACTTATTAAATTTCTAATCGTAGCATGCATTTTAAGGGGATTATCAGAGATTTCGAAAGCACGAATTTAAGGGATTATCAGAAGATCGCAATATTCGACGAAATAATGAATTCTCCACTTTTAAATATCCATCGTCAGGTAAACTAAAGTCGTTTGATATTTGCCCTTAAGAAGGATTGTACTTACTCTTCATTACAACTGTTGAAACCGTTTTTAAATTGCCACCATACGAATAAATTAATTGCGAATCGCATTTACAGTTGGAATTGAAAGTGACTCACAAAGTACAGTTTCTCTTAAAAAAGACGCTAGATGAACAGGAAATTTAGAATAGAGCATTTTAAAATGAAATAATTCAAATAAGTTGATAATAGTTAGCAATTTCATTATATACAATACAGATGTGTATAAAAAATAAATGATTAAAATATACTCTTTAACTATTTATATTTACTATCAATAATTACTAACAGTATATACCTATAATTAATTATTTTAAATTAGTATATAAATATATACAATCACTGCTGAATCGTGCGCTTCTGGAATTTCTGAATTAATCTTTGAAACTAACAAATTTACCTTTGTAATTAATAAATTTATCAATGGTTTCTATTAATGGTATTTGGATATTCCGATGAATGCAAGTAAAGCAAGTCCATTCAATCGAGATTCAGATTTATATTTCTGAATTATACTTTTACAATTTACAGCTAGGAAAAAAAAAGCTTCTTTTGGCTAGACAAAGCTTTCTCAGAAGTTGCCTTGATATTCGAGGTATTTTTCTTCTCATCTGCCTTTCTTTCGCAACGAATATATATTCTGAGTTTTATTAGTTCACCTTATGCAGAATTTCGGAAGAATACTGTTTTTACTTAAGGAAACGATCTTTCGTTCATTGCCAAAATCATCGCAGAGTTGCACATTCTATCCGTTTAAAAACAGTACTTCATTTATGCAAAAATACAAAGACTCAACTTCGTAAATATCTTTCGATGTTTCTTTTAAAATTCTTTTTTTAAATCTAAAAATTTTTTGCTTTCCTACATTTCGGAAGAGGCCAACGCCCAGTCGGCCTCCCATTATGGAACCCCTTTGGAAGAGGGGGGGGGGAGCTAATGAAGATTGATGATTTCGCGCAAACAGGAACGTTTTCGACAACCGCGCAAACAGGAAGACACCCAGCCGACAGTATCATGTTGTTACGATTAAAAACATTTTAATTACATTAGTGCGTACGGGTTCGTGATGGATTGAAGACACGCAGAACCGATGACAACTCGATTAAATATACTCTTTCCAATAGAAATCCTTCACAATTTTGGAACTTACTTGCTGACCAAAAATACTCGTACAGTTCTTCCCAGTATCACAGACCACAATCAGTAGTTACACTTCAGGCCTACTAAAGAACGTCAAGCACAAAGCAGTGCTAAGCGCATATAAAGAGGACAATCTCAATACGCGGAGATCTCTCAATATTCCGAACTCAACTCTAAGCTGGAAAACTGAGAAATGATGCTCTTTCCGAATCTTAGAGTTTTACCCCGCCACTGAGAACTTGAAATGATTGGAAGGCATATACGGTTAAAAGTTGCAATATATTGGCCGGATACATTTAAAATTACATATAAGGATCAATTAGTTATTCAGTTACAATACCAATTACAGTTATATAGGGAACGGACCAAAATGACGCCAAGTAATCGCCAAATTCAACGACTTTTGGCGATTTATTGCCGTGTTTAGCGACAAAAATACGACACCACTTTGGCGATATCTCGCCAATTTAGGAGACAACATTTACGTCAGTGTTAAATGTACTTGCCCTTGTAATGTTATTTTCCCTTTGTCTATTGAGGCATTTCATGTTATATTATACAAAAGAAACTGTAAATTTATATATAATTTGCAAAAAATAATTACAAACAAAATTCGTAACAATATTATTGGGCTGGCTGCGAGCACTTCAGTCATTTAATACTCTTGTTTATGAATTCAATGATGTTTCTTTGTTCTTAGAGTTCAAAAGGGCACAAACTGATGACGATCATAGTCCTTTGGCATTCAGCCTTCGCTTCACAGTACAGTTGTGCATTGATTTTACTACTCGTATGATAGCCAGAGATAGTCAGCACCACCATTCGGCAGTAGCAGTTTCCGTTAGCCGATAATCAGAGCTAAATTAATTATTAAGCAGAATAAGCGTGTGCTTAGGGCATCAGACAAAGGGGACACCACAGAAAGGTACCCAGGAATCATAAAAAAGGGCACCACAAATTTTATCGCCGATTTTATCATGGAATGTACGGTGCAGCTAAGCTAAGAGAGAAGAAATGCGGAAAAAGAACCGTAAATGTCCTTGGGGCACTCAAATCTTTTAAATGGTTAGGGCTGTTGGATCTAGTCTTCTTAGCTATCATGCAATGTAACCAGATCTACGTTAAGTTTCAATCCCTGCGACTTCTCGCAAAGACTTGAATATGAATGATACAGAGTAAGAGTGTAAAAGACTCCTTTATTAAACACAAAATTTTACAGACGGAACGGACTTACGTGCTTACAGACAACGACCACTTGCGATCAGAATCTTAAAAGATAACGTAAGACTTAATTTAAATGTAAGAGTATCACAAGACTACACAATTTAGTTCAATCTAACAGGTTGACTCCGAACCTACACCACTCATCAGCGGCCAAGCGGTAAAGTGGCTGAACATTGGTAGTTCCGACCTGGGTTACAGAATCCAGGCGAACGGGATAGCTATCTAAATGTTTTTGTGTTTTTCCCATGTGTATCGTGTATAAGATCCAATTGCCTTAGAAATTTCTCCACGAAGGCATCCCTTCCCTTGGCAGATAACTCTCGCCTGTTTTGCTATAATTAAATACACAAACCAAACCAGTAACTACACGGGCAGGATAATAATTCGGAAGCAAGAATGCGAAGCCAATAATCGAGGTTAGCAGCTGGTAGATACAAACGTGCGTTTACAATAGCGAGACTACGCTTTGACTAAACGTTTCCCTACATCAGTTTAAATACACTCGTTCACCCTAACTCATTTACAAACTGACGAGGAAACGCGAGGGGAATAAGAGAAGACAGAAAAGGTTAACGAATTAAAATAACTATTAGTAAAAATAAATGAAAGCCTACAGAGCTTCTAAAAGTCTTAATCCGACCCTGCCAATAACAATGCGCTAATCATTTGAAGTTGATGACATTGTAATCGCAGGATGTTGTAGTTCTAAGATGACTTATAACGAATCTTTAGTAAAGGCTAAGCTTGTTTTCGTTTTCATAAACGAAACAACACAGAACAGTGACGCACGCACCCGCATACAACACATTAGCTAATTGCTTAATTGAGAATCCTGCCTTAAGTCTTTCCATTTCCATAACAGCATTGCGAATTTTCTAAATTAGTGTTTCTAAAACGTTGATGTAATCGAAAACGGTCACGGTTAATGTTTCGGTAAAGTTTACTTACTCGTTTAAGCTTTGTTTTAATTTCAAACGAAACCTTACTGGATGCTTAAGTGTTTTGAAGCAATTTGGCGATTTTTTAGCGGGTGAAAAGTTAAAAGTTGGTGGCTTTTGCACCGCATTTTTTATTCATTTATTTATTTTTCAAGAAAGATGGTTAAACTTAGGAAGATTTTTATAGATATTTATCTAAGTCGATAAACATTATCAACATATGAAAAGAAAACATACGTTGTTAATTTAAAATACAAATTTGAATTATTAAATAAGAATTACGGTATATATTTAAAAAAAACACTTCGATTCTTCTTCGAATCTTTTTTAAATTTTTTGCGCTATTTTTCGTCCGTACACAGCGATCTGTTTTGGCATTAAAAAAAAAATTAAAAGATAAAGACCATCAAATAAATGAGGAGACACAGCTTCGTGGCAACCCCCCGGCAACAGCAGCTGTCTAGGAAATGCATTTCCTTGTTGTTCCCTTTAAAAGGTGTTCAGCAAAATTCTTCATTCCTGCAGAAATTTTAACGCATTTTCTTCCATTGCTGGCGTATTCCACATTATCTCATATTTTAAAACTAAATTTAAGGCAAAAAATATCACGATTTCCTTATAAAAACCGCTGTAACTTTTAATGCAACAAAAAAGAACACATACGAAAATGGCGGCGCCGCATGAAGGATTGCTATGACCAGGGTTGTCGGAAGAATAGTTATGCGCATGGTTGCCAGAGTTTGGTACATTCTGAAAATCTGGCAACTTTTACTAAAGTGGTTCCGTTAGTGCGTAAGTACCCTTTACTGATCGGACATAGTGGTTATATACATCGTTCATAATGATTTTATTTGTAGTTGGGCTACAAAGAACCCTTGATACTGTAAAAAATTATTGAGACATTCATACTTTCAGTGCTATTTCGACTATGATAGGACATACATTTAAAACAAAAAATCTGATCAATACAACACAGTAACAAATATGATTAAAACTAAAGTACTTTACCGCAGCTAACGGCTATGACGCCCATGCGAGGTTCTGGCAAAGAAGTGCCTTCTTCCCAAATTTTCGTCTCGTTATTGAAGACCCATACTTCATCCGTCGGACTTACGTTTTCGTGCTTTAAGAGGATACTACCACCAATGCAATATAACTTTCCTCTCCAAACTATTAGATTACAGTAGCAGCGAGGACTTGGCAGAGAGTACAAGTTAAATAACCACCTTTTAAAGATATAAAGTAATTTTGGTGAATAGAAATATACAAAGAAATGACTTTGTTTTGCTGAATTCAGAATGCAAATTGTACTCGGATTCACTATTTATCTTTTGGCAAAAGCCTACAAACTTACGATTTTTGTTCCGATAAAAAATTTATATCCTGAAATTATGTTAAAAATTACAAGTATATTGCTATTTGATATTTTCAGCTTTCGGATTCCAAAAGATTCATTCAAAAATTAGCATTTAGTAAAGCCTGTAAAGAATTTTTCAACAATACCATGCATATCATCGTTTCATGATGTAACAGAACTGCTACTGCTGTGTTATCAACTGTTGTAACTGTAACCGTAAATTCATGTAATTGTAACACGTACCGCTGTTGCTAGAAGAGCACAAGTAATTTGAAATAAATGTTATTCACTTAAACTACTAAGCTAAATATTGTAAAAATATTTCTTATTTTATTTTATTTATTTATTTATTTATTTTTATTAATGGCTTTAGCAAGAGCAAAGTTTGTCAATAGTAATGTCCGGAAAAATTATCAATTTTTGAACAGGCTAGGCTGAATAGCAATGAAATAGAAGTAATAGTTATAGTAGTGGAAGCAGCAGCAGCAGTAGGTGGTTTGGTTTTTGTGATCATGGCAAAGCCTGGAGAGCTATCTGCCTAAGGGAAGAGATGCTTTCGTGGAGCGACTTTATAAGGGAAACTGGCCAATATACACGTTACACATGGGAAAAACCACAAAACGCCCATGAAGGAAGACCGTTCGTGGGATTCGAACCTCGGACTGAACTACCAGTGTTCAGCGACTTTACCACTCGGCCGCTGGTGGACCTAGGAGAAACAGTAATGATAATAATAACTAGACTGAATAAAAATAATAGTAAATAATAATAATGATAATAATCACATATCCCTGCAGTAAAATGCAGAGATGAGCTACAAATTAGCTCTGTTTTATGTAAATGTGTTTGGAGTTGTGTGATACGAGACTCTGTGCCTAACAACTGATTTATCATAAATATATTAATCATTACTATTTAAGCATTTTAAGTTATTAGGCATCGACGTGCGTATTATACGTTTGATATTTTCAGATTTTGATGATTCTGCGCTGATAATATTAAAATAATGGCTCACAATTTTCACGGTATCTGGTCATGAACTTATTTTATTTTGAGTTGGATCTATATTTTCCTTTGTGCTTTTCATTAGCAGTCACCAGTAAGCGTAAGTACAATAACGGCGAAGTTCTTGAAAGTTTTAGAGTTAGAGCTTTTGTCAATTGAAGCTCGCCAACTGTACTTCCTTACACCGAGCTCTGCTAAACTAGTTTTCCGGTCTTAGCCAGTTTGCTAGCAGAAGTTACATCGCGCAGTTCACTTTGCACTAACGCTTAGTTATGCCATTATAGTCTCCTCCTACGAATCCATTTAAATTTGCGAATTCAATGTTCTGTTATTTAATATAACAAGTAAGTGGTGGAGTTTAATTTGTACGCACAAGTTGTGCAGTTTTTAAGTTCAATTTTCAAGTAAAAAAGGCTATTTAAAGCTTTCTTAGGATTTCGTGTTACTTTCGAAAACGGAGAGTCTAAACAAATTTAATAGAACTAAGTTGATTTACATAGGATAGGACATTACAAATTTTCCGAAGCACAATAGTAAATTCTTTTAGGAAAAAAAAAAAAAAAAAAAAAAAAAAAAAAAAAAAACTCGTCAGAATTTTAGGAGCTGAAAAAGCGGCTCTTCATGTATGCAGTCTATAAGAAAAAAAAACGGAAATTTGGAATATAATATCGACAAACAAATCTCCCCATCATCAACTAATTTCAATAATTATTGATGAAACTGTGGGGAAGAGAATTAATTCTTGCTATTACCTTCAGCAGATTGTTAACCAGAGAACAGGGGCTCCATTACCTAGCTGACATGATGTCTGCCTTACACGGATTAAAGCCCCTGCCTCCAGAAGCTTTTATTATCACTAAGCAAAATAAGTTTACAGTGGCATACAAGGCCTTCAAGAACACAAGGACATAAGTAACATAGTCATTAATAAACCCTAAAGAAAGCATGTCACAAGTAGTACCTATAGCATTCAAACAATAAACCGAGTATACTTTCATAATTTGTACTGAAAATACGAAATGCTTTCAAAACTGAGTCCAACTAATTTAAATAAATCTATGGTACAAACAAACAAAATATAATACATACATTACTGTATTATGCACAATTAATTTCAATTAGATTCACAATATCAAGAAGAACCATTCAATTTAGAAAAAATGCATAAAGATAAACTAAGACAATATAAACTGCCAATAAAATTTCTTCATATGAATTCAGAATTAAGAACCAATAACTTTGATAACTGAACAATATTATCATAAAATACACTGAACCTGAGATATTACTACAATACAAAACATAAATTTGGTTTAAAACGAAACCACTCCAAGTAATATAAAAACTCTACATCAGGTTTGCTGGCAACGCGATAGAACCTTCAGCAGACTTTTGAAATGCAATGAGTAAGTGAATGCAAATACGTTTTCAATTCAAGTATAAAGTAGAATATGATATTTTTCATAATTTATGCTGGCTCACCAGTAACCGAGCGGTAAAGTCGCTGAACACTGGTAGTTCTGACCTGCGCTCGATTTCAGGCGAACAATTAAGAATATCAGCTTCCTCCCATGGTTAGTGGAAAAAGAGGATTAAAATAATCTCCAGAGCATTATGTTAATTAACCAGGTATATTATCATTATAGCGAACTCTAGCAGCATGGCAATTAGTTAATGCAGTATTCTTCAAATATTTTTCAAGTGAAAACCAGTTTTATAAATTAGTATATTCTGCGAACCACCTTAATTTTGTTTCCATCATCATCATTTTCTGCCCTCATTGTATTATATATTTAGTATTTTTAGAAGAATTTTCTGTTGCTTCTTCCCCCCTGTCCCCTTTTTGCAGCTTTCGATTTAAAGAAAAATACAGAAGTACTGTGGCACAAATAAAGTGACGACTGTCATTTAACATTCTAGCCGTAGACGTACACAGCTCAAAAAAAAAAAAAAAAAAAAAAAAAAAAAGACAGTTCTATATCTCCCGTTTTACTGGGCCGATTGACAAAATTCAAATTGCGTTCTTCATGTCTCGAAAGCGCGACTTAGGATATATATTAGATTTATATATAGCACTATTCTAACATAGGTATTTTGACACAAAATCGGACTTTTTCTGAAATAACATACCAATTTTTTTACATATTTCGATTCTACGACTCAAATTACGCCTAAATATGAAATTTTGTAAAATTTGGAGCGAAATTTACGGAGAAATTCAACAATTTATGTTGGCGCTTTTTATTCAGTTTGGGCCAAAATTAGTTCACTTGGCGAATTCCTTAATATATGCAACCTACTTTCCTTTCCCGTAAGAGGAAACAAAGTCACCATCGTTCCTTTTTTCCAAATAATATTCTTTATATTTATTTTTAATTATAACTTATTATTTTAAGTAATTTTTCTTTTTCGAATTTCATTTTAATTGTTTAAGTTGCATGTTTTTTTTTTTTTTCGAATAACTGTTTTTTTTAAACATTTCTATTTACCTATTCGAACTGCGTAAATAAAGGTGCAGAGTTTTTTTATTTTCAAATAGTTTTCTTTATATATTTTTTGTCATAGTTATTATTTTAGGTAATTTTTTTAAATTTTATACTTTTATTTTAATTGTTTGTTTTGCATTGTCTCTTCAGATAAGTTGTTTTAAAATTTTCTATTTATTCCTTCGAACTGAGCATTTAAAATATATTTATTAATATAAATTTTCCAGAATTTGATTTTATTTATTTGAATTGCGTTTCTTTCGGAAGAATACTTTGTAACCCAGACTATGATGCGTTTGAAAACTGCATATATTAAAAGAGAAAATACAGTAAAGCACAGTTAACACGCCTTTCAATGTTCCGTTCAGAAAAGATATATATAAATAAGAGAGATGTATAACCGACATTTTAACTTAGGATGACTTGCATACACTGCTTTAAACAGTTTTATCATTGTGCCCATTGCTTTACACAATTTTATCCTACATTTGGTTTCTTAAAATGTTATTCATATTTTAGTCAAATATTTATTTTTGAAATCGCAAGAATCAAATATCATAAGATTAAAAAAGTTTTAAATTTTAAAAAAAAATACTAATACTATAAATTTTACGCCAAAAATTTATTTTTTTTCTTCTCTTTTTCTTTAGGCATTCTACTTTATTCTTGCTCTTTTTCTTTAGGCATTCTGCAAGTATATTAAAAAGCATCCAACTTTTCGAAATATCTTGATATTTCTGACAATCATTTTAAATAAAGTTATCGCCTTCCATTTCATAAAGGCCCACAAACGGCCGAGCGGTAAAGTCGCTGAACACTGGTAGTTCCCTCCGGGGTTCGAATCCCGGTAAACGGGCTGGTTGCATGGGCGTTTTCGCGGATTTTCTCATGGGTACTATGTATGACGGTTGATTTCCCTTAGAGAGTTCTTCACGAAGTATTTCGTCAGAGCCTTTATCAGTCTTTAGAGGCTAAACATTTTGAAGGTATGAGATGAAAAGAAAGACTGGTTTCATCAAGAGGTTTTTGTTTATTAAATTATGACAAAGCACACTAGGGCTATCTGCCTAAATTCGAACCTCGGACCGAACTACCAGTGTTCAGCGACTTTACCGCTCGTCCGCTGTTTCATCAGGAGGGAAAGAAACGTCTTTAGGTGACATCCACATACAATACTGGATAAACTCCTGAATCTTCAAATAATTCGACTGAGAAAATCATGGGATTCTCCATTTATGATACGATATGATGTTCTATAACGTAATTTAAATTTATACAACCATATAGTCTAAAACCAGTCGCTCTTCACTTTAATCTGCAATGATATCGTTTTTGTCTTTTCTGTTAACACAAGCTCAATTGATGGTATTTGCTGGTG